CAGTCAGTTAGTATTCAAACTTGTTACACACACCCAGAGGCCCATAAAAAAACAAGACCATATGGACATGCATTTATGGAGATATCCACCGATTGGGGTTCAGTGGCTTACTCAAGGGAATGAAATGACACCTCTCCTGCAACCAGTCCCAATTTCCACATTTGTTCTGAAATGGAACTTGAACCACCATCCCTCTGGTTCCCAAGTTAGGTCCCTACCGACTGAGCTACTGCTGCTTCATGTCACTTCTGAAGATGCTTTTTAAGGTTTAAAATAGCAGCTTTTTTTTTTTTTTTTGAAGATTTATTTTTGGGCTTTTTGTGACTTGAATAGAGAGATAGGACAGTGGATAGAGTCGGAAATCAGGGAGAGAGAGTAGGGGAAAGGACTAGAGACTATAGCCTCCGTACATGGGGCGCGCGCACTAACCACTGCGCCACCAGCGCCCCCTGTATGTGTTTTTTGCGATGTCACCATACGGAGTAAAGCATGGTTGCTCCAAAACAGAAAACAACTCTGCTCCTTAAGTCGAGGTTTTTCCTCCTGATGACATATGTAACCACCTGCCTGTCAGCACAAGCTTATTTAACATACCTCCATTATTTAGTCTTCCGTGCTCCACATTTAAAGTCCCTTCTTCCACGCTGCTGATGTCGTCGCCTCCCGCCCAGCTGCCACGCTTATTGCGTTGGTGTTGACAGACAGCTGTGTGTCCTTTAAAAGGCTTTACGTGCACGTGTGAGACATGGACTTTGTTTCCTGTTCACAGTGACTCAAAGCAGGCATCATAGAAACCTCCACACTGTAAGCAAATTAAGCTCACACACGTAAACAAACAGGAACAAAGAGAGTGACTAAATTAGAGCTGACAACAAGCAAACATGGTTTTGGACACAGAGCCGTGACTTCCTTTTAGCCTTGTGCAGCCTGTAGCAAATTATATCAAGCTGGATTAGCGTAGCTATATTGAGCTTTGGGCTCATAGTTGTTATTACTGTAATCCAGCGTGGATCCTGCATTGACAGTATCATCAAGGGCTACCAATTTAATCCATTACCTCACCTAGAAAATCTACAAGTTTTCAAGCTGCAATAACGTTTGTAGACTCATTATTTATGCTAATCGTTAATATTACTGTGCCGAAGCTCGCAGAGTTCAACATGATTCTTTTTATTACTGTGGGGCCCTCGTTAGCAGCGCGAGGATTAAGAGCGTCTTTAATTAAAAGAGAAACTGTAAAAAGAAAAATCCTTACAAGTGCACTGTGGGGAAGGTCAGGTCGTCTCTTTCTCACAAGGGAATTTCAGAGTAGTTCTGCAAAGTCACTGATTGCTTCACTGAAACTTATTTGCGCGGTATCTTTTCTGTCACTCCTGCCCCTCTCCGTAATTTCATTTATTTCCACTGCTAAACTTAAACTTCCTTCCCCTCATATTGTCTGGTACCCTACATCCTCTTTTCATCACTCGTCCCCTCCTTTTTTGACCTCCTACGTTTCCACCCCTTCTCCACTTTCTCCAGCTTCTCTCCATTTCAGTAATGATCTAATTAGGGAGGGTTTTGTTGCCTGCCCACTGTGTATAATTGCCAGAGGGGTCCGCCTGTACTTCCCAATTACAGGCGGCATCCTTCTGCTCCCCAATCGTCTAATTAGGCCTTAAGGACAGCGAGCCGATCATAGTCGCGCATAGCGTCAGGGAGGAGTCAGGAAATGCCTGTGCTCTCCTCACTCCCGGGATGTGCAGAAGCAGTGGATTTGAAGAGTGGTTGCCATGGTAGCACTCACAGAGGTGTCAGATCATGTGCAGAGGCTGTCAGTCAGTTGCAGGGTGTGTGTGTGTGTGTGTGTGTGTGTGTGTGTGTGTGTGTGTGTGTGTGTGTGTGTCCCTATCTCTTTTTGTTGTTTTTGTGTGTATTTATATCTGTCCGTCTGGAACAGAGACAACAATGCTCCCGGTCACCGATCCTTTCATTATTGAGGCTCAATCTATGAAGACAGTACAGCAGGCAAACACAGCTTGTCACAATGCCTGTTTTTACGTCCCCGTGTGGACTGGCTGTCATTTTGATTGATTACAATGCCAGCTCATGTAATGCTGGCCTTGCAATATGTCGCCACTCAGCACCGCACACACACAGATTACCCTGTGGACAACCGTATACACACACTCAAAACTATACAAGCGCTGTTTTGTAAAAGCACACACACATCCATTTTGCTATAACAATTTTACTATAATCAATTACAGAAGTTTCTCCCTCACATCCAATTCACTGTTGGGGACTTTCAGAAATTCAGCCTCTGCAAGGAAGGTTGAAATTTTGATTAGAAACTTTAATATTGAGTACATATCTACAGAAAAAAAGGGTTAGTGTGGTTTGTTGAGATTTGCAATGTGTTGGCCTTTTATATATCCGTGTTACAAATTTTTTAAAGGAAGATGCAATTCTTTGAAACATCAAAGCAGACATTTCAAATGGGAAAAAACTGCCTCCCTGGAGACTGTGTTTCCTTGTTCCCGCAAGACCTTTGTCTTCTTTGAGTGTAAAAATGGTATCAAACAGGAAAAATGGCAAATGAGAGAGGGATCACCATGCAAACATGAAATAGACTAGCAGGTAACTTTTGAGGAGATGGCTGCACAACTGTGCTACTCATGCGGGGTGCAGCTAGAGCAGGAACAGACAGCTTTTCAAGATCAGAAGAATCCAGCACACACCAGGGATTGTTCAGATAGACTTTCAAGTTGAATGCATATAAAACATTGGAGCAAACAACTCGTTACACAGAGTGGCTTCCTCCAGGTTGAGTTCACTTGTAAACCCACAGCTGACACTAATCAAGTGGAGAGCGAACCTGAGGAAGCCACTATGGGAAAAACGCATGCTCCATTGTTTGATATGCATTCAACTTTATAGTCTATCTGAGCAATCCTGGGGTGCACTGGAATACTTTGATCTTGAAGGACTGCAGGTAGCTTTACTGAGACTGCATTAAAACATAGTATGATTTGAGACTTGTGGCCTGGAGACATAATAACATACATTATGTGAGTCCAATTACGAGGCAATTAAGGCATGTTTATTTATACAGCACATTTCAGCAACAAGGCAATTCAAAGTTCTTCACAAAAGTATCGTGACAAAGGCAAAGAGAGACATTAAAATAGAGATTTAAAAATCACTAAAACAACAGTTAACAATCAGAGAGAAAAATAAGATGTGAAAATATCCCGACGGACTCAGATTCAAAGGGTGGTCTTGCGTAATCGAAATGGATTCTTTTTAATAATCCACCTCAGAACGTCTTCCTGAATATTTAGGCATAGTATAAAAATACCCCCCCCCATCCGTCTTTGATATCTGTTCCAGTACAACACTGCATCTGCTTTGGTAGATCACCTCCTACAAACAACAAAAATGCTAAATAAGACCTCTGAAACGGTCTCACATGTGGGAGGTTGAACTCCAATTCTTATTATTCGGAGCTTCAGGCCCTTGCGTGCTGTGTCTTCTACATTGCAGATGTTCTCCAGTGACACACATTTGCATGGAAATTGCATGAAATTGTGTGCTTATTTGTCATATTGCTTTAAAGTTGATATTTGGCTGCAAGGGCTGAAGTGTTCATTGAATGTGGATTTGAAGGGTGCAGCTCACTCGAACCTTTGCGACCAGCCTGGGTTTTTATTATTGGACGTTTTATTAGGAAGCTTTATATAAGCCTTTAAAAGTTTTGCTGAATTGTTTTCCATCCCACTTACCTTTAGTCTTTAGTTGGCTTAATGTAAAACAAATGGAAAAGTGGCTCTTGTTTCTTGGCTTCAACAGCTGGAACAAATGATGAAGTGGTACCAAATGGAACGTGCTGTCAGGGGTTGTGTTGACTCTAAACGGCTTCTTAAGGTTTGGCTCAGCTGGACAAATGTAATTAAGCTAATGGACAAAATGGCACCGCCTTTCCTCTCATTGTGCTTTTGCTTTTGATGTTGCTTGAAGTTACTTAAATTAATTTTCTGTCCTCAGTGGAGAAGCTGAGGCTGCACAATAATTAACTACATATTGACCTTTAGGTTGTATTTGCCATAAGCCTTATTAACGAAATGCCTTTTCCCATCTCAGCAATACAATAAAGACAACACCTCCCTTTGTATACTTGACTATTTGCTTTAAATTATGTGCTGTGTTTTGTTGTGCCTAGAGGGGTGGCTGTGGCTCCACTGGTAGAGTTGATTGTGTCTCGGTAGGTTGGGGGTTCGATCCCCAGTTTCTGCAGCAACATGTCCGATACTTCCTTGGGCAAGAAACTTAACCCTGAATTGCTCCCGCTGCTTCCTCGACAGCGTATTAATGTTTTATGAATGGGATTAGTTAGCTGATGGTCACTTTACATCGCAGCCTCTCATAGTGTGTGAATGAGTAGGTGTGACCTGCGGTGTAAAGGCGCTTTGAGTAGTCAGAAGACTAGAAAAGCACTTTACAAGCTCAATTCCATTCCCCCATTACCATTTGCTTTTAATAAGTTTCTGCACATCATGTTTGGTTTGATTTGAAAACTGTTCAAATTACTATTTGGAATTGCTTGGGACAGATTTGAAATATGTTCGCATAATTATAAGCAATTTTCCAGGTACCTTTGCCGACACTGTATCGCACTTTACACGCTTTACCCAACTGATTGAATATCTTATCTCAGGGAGGCTTATATTTATACTGTTGTACGAGGCTCAGAGAACAAGCATTTTATATCTCAAGCGGCACTATTTCTTACTCACAGGGACCAGAGGCTGTTTTTTTCCCCCTTCTTTGATGTGATTTCCCAGATCCGTCAATCTCCTGCAAAGTCTCGACAAAGCAGAATGTCGAATACAGTTCTGTTGAGCAGACATGATGGTTAATATTTCAGTTTTCTCACACGGCTTTTTCATTTCTGTTTTATACAGGCTGCCAGCTCCCACTGTAACAAACAAAGTCGATGACTGAGAACTCCGCTTCCTATGATGGACAAGAAAAGTGGTGAGTGGCAATAAGTCTGCGTTTAAACCAACAACCCCATATCCTCCAGTTTGTTATACAAAGAATCAGATTTCCTTTGTTCAGTTGGAACATTTCTGAGTCATATAAAGTCATTTTTAATTTCACCAGTACAGTATCAGACATACAGAGTTTTAAATGTAACCCTCTCTTCCTGCATGTGGCCAAAAGCAACAACAATTGATTTCCTTCAGGTGATAACCGCGCCTGTCTCATAAGTTGACACAGCATGAGCAGCATTTTTCATGCTGATTGGATTGTTTTGGCAGAGACACTGCATGATAATTACTTCCCAGTGAGTGATATGGTTTTACATAATGAAGCGCCATGTGTGGAGCACATACAGCCTCTCTGTGCAAGTGGGTGAAAAGGGATTTCTGATGATAATCAGCAATCTGGCTACGCTCATCTTGAAAGAGAAAATGGAAACTGCAAATTTTTATGAAGTTTAGTTTTTAAATGTATCAATTATTCATGTGTTTATTTGTAATACTAGGTGATGCATTTATTAATCGACTGGTTTCCTGTTAATTCCTTTCAGCCAACGGCTTTCAGACCAAGGCTAGTGAGAGTGGGGTTCAGAGGAAGCAGCTGCCCTACTCAGTGGAAACTCCCTATGGCTTCCACCTGGATCTTGACTTCCTCAAGTATGTTGACGATATCGAGAAAGGGAATACCATCAAGAGAGTGCACATTCAGCGCAGGATTAAAGGCCCACCCAAATTCAGCACTCTGCCCAGAAATTTTAGCCTTCCTGGGCATGGGGTCCGGCCTGTCCCAAAGGACACAGCATGGTCTGGGACATCCACCTTGGGGCCCAGGCCTAAATCACGTGTGACAGAAGTCCAACAGATCTTTGACTTCAGGGCTAGTGAAGGGGGGACTTCGGGCCAGAGCAGCAGAGTGTCACCCAGTCAAGGAAGTGGCTATGTTCCAGCTAAGCCAAGAGAAGAGGTAGGAGGTGGGGGTCGGGATATCGAAGAGAAAAATGTGGGCATACAAAACCGACCGAACCTTCTCCGAGCATCGAGCATGCCGATTACCCTACAGCAGCGGAAAGGGTCTGATTCCAGCAGTCCCGACCGTATAGTGGGGACACCTGAGGGTGGCTCATCTGAGAACGTGTTCCGTGCTTCACCTGACATAACAGAAAGAAGGTGTGTTCCCCAGGACCGGACAGGGCTTCACCAGCAGATCACTGTGGCACTGAAGCGAGTCAGAGAGCTGGAAGAGCAGGTCAAAACCATCCCAGAACTAAAGGCTCAGATCTGCTCTCTGAGGGAGGAGAGGGAGAAGCTTCTGCTTCAGCTCCAAGCCCAGGCCCGAGCCCAGGTCTCCACATCATCGTCCACAATAGTACCAAGTTCTGATTCTAGGACACACACTAAGCCACAAGTACACAGGCCTTCAGAAGGCCTCAACTTAGTTCTGACGACTCGGCCAACTGGAGGTTTAGAAACCTCAGTGACAGGGAATGTAAATCAAGGTGTGTCAGGAAAAGGCGAAGTGTTACACAAAGAGAGGACATATCAGGAGCCTGTTAGGAGTCCTTTGTCAGAGCAAGAATCTGAGAAACAAACCCAGCCTTCAGAAAAGTCAGACAAACTAAAAGAGACAACAGAGCGTCCACTGAATCATGCCGTGCAGAAGCTGTCACAGGACACTGCAGGACAGGAATTAAAATCACTTACAGTAGCTATAAAAGACGCAGAGACGAGCGGTATTCAAGACAGTAATGCAGCTCAGGACTCAGAGAGTACACAAAACCTGGAGGAGAAGCTAATGATACTTGAGGCTAAGCTAAGTCAGGCTAGCCAAGAACTGGAGAGAACTAATAGTCGTTTAAAACAACAACTAGAGGAAAACAAAGTGAAAGAGGAGAGGATAATTCAACTGAGTGAAGGAATGAGGGTGGAGATCTGTACTCCGGATTTAGAAAACAGACCTAGAAGAGAGAGTATCGATGCAGGGACAGTGACAGAGAAAGTGGATGTTGCCAACCAAGAGACAGAGACAGAATCACTGGGTAGAGTCGATCAAGGGACGGATACAGATAGAATCTGTATTGAAGTGATTGTACCAAGGCTCAGGACAGGAAGTACAGATCAAGGAACAGAGACTATTGCAATTCAGACTCAAGAGCAGGTAACAGAGGTCGAGGCTGAATTAACTGTTTTGAGTCCCCCAAGACCGAGAGCCAACAGCATAGAACGGGGCACAGTAACTGAGAGGATCCCCACCCAGGATCAGATGACTGAGACTCCCGTAGCGGAAAGAGTAAACCAAGTCACAGAAACAGAAGGAGAGACAATGACAGACCATCCATATAGACCAAGGGCCAGCAGTGTAGACCGAGGGACGGAGACAGAGAGAGTGGACACTGTGGACAGGGTGACAGAGACAGAGGTAGCGCAGAGGACGGACCAGCAGACTGGAACAGAGACTGACAGACGTCCGCATAACAATCCAGGCACAGGTGCAGAAGCGGAGAGTGAAGTGAGAGAAAATGCAGGCAATGAAAGGCTGGAAGACGAAGGCACTGTGGTCAGTGAAAGAGTGGAAGATACAGAAGCTAAGGAGGTGATTCAAAGCGATAGAGGAGAAAAGGAAAGTTTGGAAGTACAAGTTGTCGCAGAAAGTTCCGTTGCAGTTATAGAAAGCAAAGTTGACCAAACTGTAGTTCCAGATGATGCAGGCCAGGATAAAGGCCATGCCCGTCAGTCTGTTGCAACAGAAGAAAGTACAGAATCAAAGATTGAAAAGGTCATTGTTGCAAATGACTCAGAAGGAATAGAAGTTATAGCCCTGAGGATGGAAGCAAAAGATACTGTAGAAACACCACAGATAGCTTTAGTGTCAGTAGAAAAGAAACAATTTGTAGATGCTGAGATTGTGCATGCTGTCATCAAAGAAACGGCGGTCACTGACAGGGTGGTTGTGGAAGGAGAAAAGGCAGCAGCTCCTGTGCGACCACAGAGGGGCAGAAAGTCCTCTGCAGAGCAGATTCAGCCCCTACTTCCTCAACCTCAGGCAGCACCTGTGCGGCCTCATAGGGGCTCCAGTGAAGCCCAAATTTCTCAGTCCCAGACGAAACCACAGCCCCAGGTGCAGGGTCCAACTGAGCAGGAGGCTCCATCCCCAACACAGGTCTCTGATCCACAGGTGAAACAAGCCCCGTCTTTGTCTCAGGTTGAAGAGCAAACCGTAGCAAAGACGCCCCCCGGGGAGAAACAATCTCCATCACAACCTCAGGCTGAGACTAAGAGTCCGTCACAAGGCTCCAGCGAAGTTCAAATTCGGCCGAAATCAATCCAAACACAGTCCCAACCTCAAACCACTGCAACTCGACGAGACTCCAAAGAGCTTAAAGCCCTGCAGAAGGGATCAAGTGTGGCATCAAGTGACGCCCAACCTAAGTCTCAGGGTTCTCGTAGAAGTTCCAGTGAGGCGCAGACCCCGAGCAAAGCCACCAGCGAGACACAAGTTCTACGCAGAGGCTCCAGTGAAACAGCACAGCGCCGTGGTTCAGGAGAAGTTAAAGCCTCGCGTCGAAACTCCGGCGAGTCCCAGGCACCCCGCAGAGGTTCCAGTGACACGGTCCTGCGCCGTGGTTCAAGTGAAGCCCAAGCCTCACGTAAGAACTCTGTCGATGCGCAGCAAACCCGCAGAGGCTCAGGTGAAACAGCCCAGCGACGCGGTTCGAGTGAAGCCCAGGCTGCCCGTAAAGACTCTGCCGACGCGCCCCGCAGAGGTTCCAGCGAGTCGCCGACATCGCCGGCGGCTTTGGGCCAAGTCGTAACCCGGTTAACGGGCCTCCTGGGGGAGCAATGGGCGCAGCTGGGGAGCAGCTCTGCAACTCAACAGACGGCTGGCCAGCAGGAGAGCCCCATCGCACAGAAACAGACGGCAGGGAAAAGAGCAGAGGCGGGGAAAGGAGCAACAGCCAAGCCTGCAGGGAAGGCGGCCCCTGCAGCATCAACAGGGAAACCAGCAGGGAAGCCTGGTCCTTCCAAAATGAGCTCGATTCAAAGTCAGCTGGTCAGCTCACTCAGTGTCCTCTCTGCCTTCTACTCACCGGGCCAGAAAGCTTCTGCTGCCAGCAAACAGCAAGAACAAGGTAGGCATGTGGTTCATTTAGGACCCTGTGGTTTATACCGTACACAAATGTGTACATCTGTGACCTTCCAAACAATTTGTGACCAAGACTTAGAGATCTTAACTCATACTCCTAATATTCATTGAAAGTATCCTATTTACTATAATACCCATGACACTCTAACTCTATGTCCTTTCTGATCGTATCCAAAATGTCTCATACTTACATCTGTACATCAGTAGCCTTGTGATTAATGTTACTTTCTATTACTTCTCTACGTTGAACAAGAAAGCCGACAGAAGCACGCCGACCATCATCAGAATGGTTTGATAGATATATGTGGTGTCACTTTTATAGAGCTTTGTTTGAAGTTGTTCAAAGCAGACGCACACCAGCATACTTTTCAGTTGATGTCAGGCACTCACTGTTACTATCAATTTTTACAAAAAAGTGATGTTTCTACAGCAAGCTGCTCTGCCCCAGAGATTCTACTCTACTACTAGTCCAAATCCATTATTTAAAAGTGCTCTACTCTACTGATGTGCAGTCAGTTTAGGATTTTGTCAGTAGTACCATATCAACCCAAGGATCCTTGTGTGTAATGGCGGATTAGCGTGAGGTGAGGGTTAGTTTGAAGGGCATATGGCTTGACTACTTTTTAGAATATTTCTTCTGATTCCGAGCTCCCTCGTGTCTTCTGGAGACAAAAGGTTTCTATGCTAATTGCAAAGCTTATTAATATTTCTCTCATTTTTATCCCAACTTTTTTAAATTGGTGTTTGTCATAAGCACATGATGCAGCGAAACACAACAACATGGACCTCTGTCTTCACGACTAGATGTCAGTTTGACGCTGCAGTTTAAGTAGAAAGTAAAAAAGAAAAGAAAAAAGGATTTGTTTCTTTCTTGTGAAACACATCACCTCTTACTCCTCAAGGAATGTTTTCCTGAAGTCTAATGACTAAGAGGGATTTAGAATTCAGTCTACCTAATATAAACCCCCAAATTACTGTCAGTGGTCTAGTTGAAAGGAAAATGTCAACCTCTCTCCTTCTAATTAATGATGATGTTATCCCTGTCAGGTCTATTTCCCTATTTTTATTTCTGTCAGACTTCCCTGCTGTGGCATCGTCTCCTGAAGCTTTGCTAATTTGCAGAGGAAATGACTACTCAATCGGCACAATATGAATGTGAATAGTGTTTCAGAGCTGGTTCCTCCATAGTTTATAACACATAAACAGCTTTTGCAAATGAATAAACTAAAATCATAAGCTCTCCTCTTTATTTATTCTACTTTAAATCACTAACAAAAGGTAAGGTCAACAAATTTGGATGAAAATGTGCATATTCAATACTACTCCATGCTTTAAAATACTACACTTCAATAACTTCTGGTAGTCATACACAACCTGAAACAAACACTAGTTACTAAACATTGGTAAAAGGACCTGAAAGATAATGGTAATCTTTATTCACACAGCATAGTGAAACACACACACACTCACACAGGGATAAACCTAAAAGCACAAACCTACAGTAAGCAGTAACCCAAGCAAAGACCCTCGTACACTCACGCTAACAGACATCAAACAGACGATGCCTTGCTTCCCTCCCTTGATGTCTAGCTCTTCTGTTTCTGGCCCAGGAGCTGAAGTACAGAATCGCTGCTCCACTATCACACACATTTTATTTTCAGAGTTCATTTGAAGTTCAGTGTTCAGGATTACGCACTGATTTGAAGTGTTTTATGCGTCTGTCTGCGACAAGATATATGTTCTCTCGGGTCTGTAGGTTTAGCTTCTCCTTTTTTACGCCCCTGATTCCTTTAACCTCAAATTTCTCCGGCGTTTTAGCTGTGCAACGTTAAAAAACTCTCTCTCATGCCATTCATCAGAGAATCAACTTGAGCTTCAGAGAATTTCAAGGATGAGTGAAATATCTCAGAGGTGTAATTCAAACTTCCCTCACCATGTAAGAGACACTCTGTTTTATTTATTAGACGATAGCAAGAGGCTCTATTAAAATGCCGAATACGCTCTAAACCTCCCCTTTTTTCCACGTTGCCATCTCCTGAGAGGTACGAGATCTCAACGCATGGTGGTCGCAGAGATCTTTTCTGCCCGTGTTTCTTGGCTCAAAGCCACGTCATGTCCTTGCATAAAACATTACAGAGCCTCTGCACCATGTCTGCTGTCAGGCACAACTAAGACAGCAATGCTGGGCTTAGAGCCAAGGGGAGTCAGCAAAAGAACCCCATGCAGAATCAATTATAGGGCAGTTATATACATAAGAAGGCCTGACAATGTCAAGGTTGTATATTGTCATCAAGGCCTTTAATCCTGACCTGTGTGTATCACTATGGAAAACCTCTGGGTGGTCCTAAAGCTAAGGTAGAAGTAATTACATCAGTGGATCAATTCAATTAGAACAGATTTTGAGTTCTTTATTGTCCTACATGATCAGATGGTCGTCTAGGGACACTTAAAAGTCAGACACTACTGTTAAGACAGGTCATTTTCTTGGCACTGTTCATGCACATTTGTTTTATAGTTGCCTTTGTATTAAGTACACAGATGGGGCCCTAAGCTTAATTGTATGCTGCCAACACAGGGATTGGACACTATTTGATGAGCTGTACTCGCTTGTAATTGCATCCAGAAGCTCTTCGATATCAACTGTGCTGAAAAATGTCCACATGCAATCACACACTGACACACACACAAACAAGCAGACAGACATACTGTTTACGCTTGCACAAGGGAATACAGCCAACGTGTGCAAACCATTATGATCTGTGGTCTCACTAACTCCTCAAAAAAAGTATGTGCAGCCTTGTACCTTTGTCTTTTTCTCAGTTTTCCAATCCATTTTTTTTTTTGCACCATATCAAATGTTTTATAGTTGCGTCTAAAGAGGGTCGCTGGTTGGCTTGGTTTCAGGCTTCAATCTCTCCATTGAAGGATTTTCTAAAATGTCAATGGAGGATTTGGATGGGGAGATTTCATTCCCGAGCCAGAGCCAGCAAAAAAGTAGGTGGTCACCGTTGAGCTCTATGAGAGAATAACCGTTTCCCCAGTTGATTTATTACCTCAGTAAACATTTTCCTAATTTGTTTATCCTCTCAGTTTTTATTTTCAAGTCTTCTTTACTTGTCAAGCTTGTCATTTAAAAAAAAAATGATGGCTCATTTAAGCATTGAATCGATAATAAATCAGGATATAACTTTAGAACAGGGCTGTCTGAGGTTAACAAATGTAGCAATGCATACACAACCCTGTTATCAAAACATGGTCAATTCTAAATCCAAAAGATCAACATGTTGTTTTCTAAAATGCACACTCAAGGTTTTTAAACGGGGGACTACTGGGTGAGGTCAGATTTGGCTTTGTGTACTTCTTTTATACTGGGGGACGTTATATCAGTGTTGTTTCCTGTTTTTAATTTGATGATTTCTCTGGGGACTTCTGGCGATTTTAACTGGCTGCCAGCAACCGTAGACAATTAGGCTGAGTCTGTTTAGGCAAGACCTTCTGTTTGGTTCACATGCTCTCCCCAAAACCTCAGTGGTTTGCTTTCCAAACTTTCTGTTTTCTTTTCATGAAATAAAATACAAAAAGTGTATTCCTTTATGTTGTGTCCACTATTATGTTTTGTACTTGAGCCAGATGTATCAGGGAAGACGTACTTTTCCAAAAGGCTCACAAGCTTTGTTACAAAATAGTCTTTGGGGCGCTACTGGAGCTTAAACATGTGGTCCAAAATAACTTCATGGTGTTCATTTTGGTTTACAGCGAATTTGGGAAATGCAAAGACCACTTATGTTTTTATGTAGTTTTCATACACATGGAAGGCTTCAGTGATTCCTGGGGCATATTTTTTACTACTTTTCACTCAAAGACAGCAAGTACAATAAGGCTGCATGAAGTGTCAAATCATGCATCTGGAAATGACTAGTGCTCTAAAAGCTCAGTGTTCCTCACTCATGTCTCCCTAATCTAAAGAAAGCAGTTTTGAAGTCAGTGTTTGTGTAAACTCATAACAAGTGGATTGACAGATCTTAAGTGCTCTTATGTTTAGATATAGGAACATGTGAGCAGTAGCACAGAGCATAAAACTTCTGGCTAAATGTATCCACAAAAAAAAACCACACTCTCACAATTCTACAAAGGTCAAGTGAAATTTTCCCACCCTAACTGTGTCATCCCCCCCCATCTCTTCCCTTCTCGCTCCCCTTTTTTCTCCAGGACTCAAATCTATTATGAAGAAAAATGGTGTCGCTGACAAGCAGGGGAACAAGGGAGCCAAGAAAAACTTGAAGTTTGTCGGGGTGAACGGAGGGTAAGATCTCTTTTTTAATCAGCGTCCTATTTCTATGTGATTAATCATTTTAAATGCATGTCTGCAGTGCATTGGTGTGCAGTAATATCCCCCCTCCTCATAAATCCAACACAAGTACCTAAAGAAGTCAATTAGCAATGAGATGTACTGGAAGGGGGGGATAATGTCTGAGGGTCACAGCGTCACACCAGTATCATCGTCTTATTATCTTAGCTGTCTGCGTTTGTTAATGACGCTGTAAACACTATAACTGATTTCACACTGACTGATGCAGCTCTCGCACTGTTCATCCCAGTTTGACCACAGCGACTGTGAACTCCAGTCCAGCTGTGTCTCACACATCTGCTTCAAGCTGTTAGTCATCTCGGGCTCGCTTGGAAGACACACTACCCTGAATTTGACCCCGGCGCGCTGCTACAGAGGGTGTGAATGTGTGTGCGTATATGAATATGCGCGGTGGCAGGATGTGATGTGTGTGCATATTTCGTCAGTATTGATGATACCTCAGTGCTTTCTGCAAGTGTGCTTATGCCAGCATTTACTACTGGGAGCAGTTTGTGTGTGTGTGTGTGTGTGTGTGTGTGTGTGTGTGTGTGTGTGTGTGTGTGTGTGACTGACGTGTGCGCGTGTGTATCGTCGTGCTTGTCGGAGCTAATTAATTTTAAGTTAGCAGATGGTCGTGTTTGAAAAGAACAAAAGTGCTTCTTAAGGTAGGGAGATCTGTTTTCGGCTGGTCCCTAATATGTCTGATGTTACACTTATTACATGAAGCACCTGTGTACAAACAAACACACACACACACACACACACACACACACACACACACAGCCACACAGGTGTTTGTTACATTTCACTGCAACAAATCCCCTGTAAGCCAACCCTTACAAACACGTTTCTGTTAAAAAAAAACGAAACATTTTGAAAAGGTTTAGAGAAAAGGAAAGATTGTGATAGCTTTTTGAATCCTCCACTTATTTATGTATTCATTTTTTTCTCTAATATTGACCCTGGGTACTTATTTTTGTCATGGTTAAACAAACAGCAAGGAGATAAGTAAAATAAGTGTAAACTACATCCTACTGCTTTTCAAACAAACTCTTTTGCTTTGTGTCACAAAGTCCATTTTCTTACTGTTTTGGTGAACTTTTCATATTTTTCATTGCTGTCAGTTCGGTGGGGTTTCTGCTGTAAATGTCCAATGATGAAATGGTGAAACAGACTGTGGATTACTTTAGATGTACTCGGCCGACGTCAGACAACAGCAACAGAGTACGAAAGGCTGACAAACTTTTCATGTTAACAGTCTTTCTTATATTCTGTTAGAAGGTGCAGATTCCTTACTGTTTGGGTACACATCTAAACGGCTAGAAGACGTTACCTTTTCTTGTCAATGTCAGACATGAACATTTCAGTCTTAGCAAAGATCCTTTCATTTTAAGCACACAACATACACATTTGGTTCCTATTCAAATATATATCTGCTGCTATGAGAGTCTTCCACATGTTACATCTACACATACCTAAAGAAGAATGACCCTCAGATCGTAGACAGATTTTAAAATGAATGAATGAATTAAAATCCGTACTAACACTGTTCTTCTTTCGTTATTTATCGATTTCATTTCATAAAAATGTTGGAAATAAAGTTATCAATCAACCTTAAGAATAGAAAAGCCCTAAGTACTACATGAGGAGTCCTAAACCTTCGCTCATTTGTAAAAGCAACAACAAAACTGTCGTCCCAGAATAAAAATTGTTAACCCTTGTCAGGAGCAGATTATTCCTCCAGATGGGAAGCGAATGCATGCAGACGTTCATCCTCTAGATTAGTACATGTCGACATTGAACAGCTTTCTCATTTTTTGTAGTAGTGTAGCTACACACACTTTCACATAAACATAGTAATTACCCTCGATGTGCACACACGACTTGACAGCAATCAGCTCTCAAAGCTATCTTTAATCTCCTAAAGCGTGCTCAGTCTTATTATGTGTGAAATCCCAAAAGATAACCAAAATGCATATCAAATGAGAAATGAGTAATGTTTGAAACGTTGGCCTCTCATCAGTCAATGACATTTTTTTATTTTACCGCCCATGAAATCCTTCCAATATTACCCGTTGCTTGTTTGAAAGTTCATCTCCACAATACTTCGGGGGCTTTACCTCCTACATAACAAGGAAACGTGAGTTCCTATAGGGAGATATGTTCCTGTTCTTACATTCCTGAGCCTTACTGTTTTTTGACCCTTTAACTCTACTATGTTTTGTCAGAGCTGAGGCGAGGTCTATTCCTTCCTCCCTTTTTTTTTTTGCATGATCCAAAAACAAAGCCTGACAGCCATTCCCCCTGACCAAAACGATGAATTATCAGTGGTATAATAAGCATCTCTCCTTCAAACACAAAGAGTTTAAGGCACTCATTTAATACGTTGTAAACGAAGGACAACATCTAGTTTGTTTTTCTGGATTTTTTTTTTTTGTAAACCCTGAAACGATAAATCAATAATAACGATTCCATTGAGACAAACATGTCAGAAAATATTTTCTCTGGCTATCTTGAGGCATCTGCCCACACCAGGAAGTGGGCTGCTGTTTGTTCTTCTTCTCTTTGTGGATGCTCTAACCTATCTTTGGTCTCCCTTGAGCTCCTCTGGAATCCGGGGAATGCTGTGGCCCCTGAATGCCTCTCGTGGTGTGGTGTCTCAGTGTGTGTGTGTGTGTGTGTGTGTGTGTGTGTGTGTGTGTGTGTGTGTGTGTGTGTGTGTGTGTGTGTGTGTGTGTGTGTGTGTGTGTGTGTGTGTGTGTGTGTCTACGAATAAGCATGAATCAGTGGCATTCAATACGAGCTTTATCTGAGCATTGGCCTCACAGAGGTTCCTTCATTATACACCCCAATGATCACAAACACACACACACACACACACACACACACACACACACACACACACACACACACACACACACCTCCACAGCTCTAAATATATCTTCAGCCTTTGCTCACTGAACAAGGTTGGCTTTTATCCAAGGCGCCATATGGGAGTATGCAAACACACCTATGGATTTTTATGTGGTTGTGGAACTGTGTGAAGGATGTTTTGGATGTTTTGGATGTATGGGCCAGGGTTCCTATCAGACAAAAATCGTTTTCAGGTCTGAAGAGGAATGACCTGCTGGTGTTTATGAATCATTGGCCTATGTTGACTTTTCTGCTTTCACGTTAGTTTTGAGCTGCTGGTGTTTCACTGATGTGGCTTCTTCTGTGTTTTCTTTGATTTCTGTTTGCTTACTTTTAGGGAAGAAACAGGTTGCATTGATCAGTGACAAAATGTTGCCTGTGCTGTTTAATTTCAAGGACTCCTTTAGAGATGGGTTTATTTTTGTACTTTTGACTTAATTCTGTCACCTTTCGTCATTCATCACAAGGGGTGGGGATGATAATGTGATATTATCACAATATAATATGTTGTATCATGTATAGTGATTCAAGACATCGAGATAGTTCAGATTATGTCACCAAAGAGAATCTTTGTCAACTTCTCATTTGTCGAATAGTTTCAGGTTTTTAGTCTTGATCTCATTCTCAATTTTATCTGTCAACCAAACCTCCCTGAAATATTCTATGCACCTGCATTTTTGATTGTACAAGAAAGTTATGCAGTCCTCTGCAAGTAAAATACAGTTAAATGAAAGTTAGACTATGTTGACTCAATCTTGGTTTTTAGCTTTTGACCTTAACAGAAATGCTCACTGCACCTTAATCTGTATATTATAATCCTAAGAATACACTTATATTTATAGCATTTATTTATATTTATAGCATCCCATTAATCCAGCCATCCAGATTTACCTAATAATTCACTTTTTTTAGTCTACATCTGTAAATTTTGTAATTACTGTACATAGCACAGACTCTTGCACTTTCTGCTTATTTGCACTTCTGGTGAGATGCCAAACCTCATTTCGTTACTCTATACTTGTATATGTGTAATGACAATAAAGTTGAATCTCATCTCATCTCAAATACCTATAGCAACATTTAGTGCCAGCTATCTTCATTCTTTTAAGTATAAAATACATTTTTACTTCAATAATCATCGTAAATCAAATCATATTAAGGATTAATACTTGGCGTTTATATTGATACAGTATGTGATTAAGCTGTATTGGTCCTTGTATTATTTTTGGAGACATGCTTGGGAATGCATTAACCATTTATTTAAAATGCTATAGATGTCTGTTTTATTTTTTTAAGGTTTATTTTGGGTTATTTATGCCTTTATTGTAGAGACAGGACAGTGGATAGAGTCAGAAATCAGGGAAAGAGAGAGTGAGGAATGACGTGTGGGAAAGGAGCCACAGCTTGGATTCAAACCTGGGCCGCCCGCTTGGAGGACTATAACCTCTGTACATGAGGGCCAGGCATTAACAACTAGGCTAACAGCGCTCCCAGCATGTCTGTGTTTTGACATTTTTGCATATGTCTCCTCGTTTGTGTCCTCCTTCAGCTATGAGACGACATCCAGCGAAGAGTCCAGTGGAGATGAGAAGTCAAAGGTGGAGGTGGAGGTGGAGGAGGAAGACAGCTCAGAGCCCGAGGTAGAGAAGGAAAAGGAGACGGAGCCTCAGCAGGTGGAGAAGCCTGAGGAGGGAGCAGAGACCCAGCAGACGGGTGCAGAGGTCGCAGCCGTGGGAGGAGGTGCTGCAGCGGCGGCGGCGGCTGTGGAGAAAGAGAGTGAAAGAGGCCTGCTGGATCCAGATGTGAGCCAGGAGCTCCTGGATGACCCATCTGAGAGGTGAGAGAGACAGTGAAGCTTCATCTATTAATAATCTTTAGATTTCTACTACAAACCCAAACCCAGTGTTCCTCAAGATCTAAACTCTATATAGCAAAACAGTTCCAATGACAAACCTGGATCCCCGATAAGAAATTGTATAATCGGAAATGAAATGTTTTTGACTTTAGTCCTTTAGCTCAATTTATAAAGAGAAAAGAAGAATGTGAAAAACGGGCTTCTTGTGATGTCAAGAAAGCACAAGTGGGGTCTTTGTTTTGTGATCTGCTTGAGCCTGCATTCTTTCCTTGACAGGTGCTGAATGACACTTTAATATACAGTGGGCCTTACACACACACACACACACACACACACCCACACACACACACATCAAATTAAACCCCACCTGCGTACACTTTTGTACAACCTTGCTCACCTCTTAATACCTTGCACAGACTCCGAGCGGCGGTCAAACCCTGTAAGCCTCTGTCACATACACAAGCACTTAAAGCATGTTTGTTTCCACACACATACTTTAATGTACAGCGAGAGCTTCACACACAGCTTGCTTCTACACACCTCAGTGTAAGCTGCTCTTAATCTATTCGAGGTCTCAGGCAAACACACGGATGCATTTCGATCCCCTGAAGTGTTCGATGTTTGGGAAAATAAGCAAAAAAAAAAAAGAGGCAGCGCTGTCATCAGTGTCACTGACTGATCACATTTCTGTCTCACCTGTGTGGACGGAGCTCTGGGGCTCTGGGGGCCAGACAGAGGATGGGTCTCTCTTAGAGGAGGCAGGACTCATATTAACCCATCACTCAGCACCTGCCTGATCATCCCAGTGTGTGTGTGTGTGTGTGTGTGCTTGTACATGTTTTGTGTGTTATGTCTGGAGTACAGTGTGATCCACTCAGACTTATTGCTGCTGGAGTGCTGCAGTATGACTATGCATGACAGATGAGCGCTCTGTGAATATTATTGGGCAGTGAATCAGGGTAAACTGTTACCATCGAGGTTTGCATGTGCTATCAATGTGTCAGACCGCTGACTGATGCGTGTGTATTCTGCAGAGGACCTGCCAGGCATCTTTTATCTTTTGTTTTTCACCCCAGACAAAACTTAAACAAGAAGTAAAGTAGCCGTCTCTTGACCATATGCGAGGCAGACTTCATGCTATTTTGCACAATAAACTCGAACAAAGCAGCAAAGAAAACGTTGAAAAGAGCAGATGTGAAGTGTTCTGGGTTCAATTTCTTACTTCCCAGATACTCTCTTTTCTGTTCAGATATTCTTGGCTCAAACGAAAAGATATCCAGAATTGGGTCTGCTTCTTACTGCGTGATGTGTTCTTTCTTTCCAGGGAGAAAGTTGACAAAGGTTTCTTAGACGCCTGTGTTTATGTCAAAGACCGCATGGAAGAGGTTTCATCCCCAGATAAGGAAATGGTAAGAATTTCTTTTGATGTCGTTTCAACTCTTCACAGCTGTCAAAAAATGATTTCTTGTTATTTATCAAAGAGGATTTGAGTGCAAAAGGTTAAATAGTTCAGATTCTTTAAAGTGGGCTTTGTGTAAGGAACCTATCAATAGTCAATGTTTCAACTACAGTAGTACCTGTTTGTAGAAGCCCGCAAAGGTACAGGCACAGAAGCTATGGTACAGCTATGGATGGTCGAAGGAAAACATCTTTTTTTTTAAAGTAATTTTATGACCTTTATTAGATGGGGCGGCTGAAGAGAGAGAGGAAATGTTGGGAGGAGAGAGTGGGGGCGGGGGGGGTGACATGCAGCAAAGCCACAAAGTCAGATATCAACCCATGGCCGCTGCGATGAGGACTGCAACCTGTGTACAAGGGGCGCGCAACCTAACCGCTAAGCTATCGCCGAGCCAGAAAAAATATTTTGAGCCAATTGAAAAGAAATCATTGTACACTGTTGGGAAAATTTGGTTTCTTGACCTTACTGTCAGACAGCCCTTTGTTTTGGGGCTCTTATTTCTTAACTGTACAATGACTCTATTCCTATATGTGCAGCAGACTGTACATACTGACTGTGAATAAGAACCTCAAACATCCTTCTTTTGAAAAATCAGATCCATCCTTTTAATATTGTTTACTGTCAATCAGCCCACCATGCTGTGTCATCTACAGTCTTGTATGTATTTCAGTACCTTCTAGTGGCACAACGATGCCCTTTATTCACTTTATAAATTAATAGTTTGAAACAAAATGTTTTGTTTCAGAGAGTTGTTGTCGATGTTATGTTGGAGCCCTTCGACTTCCATAAGTACAATAACGTGGATCACAGTGCCATTCCTCAGGCTGAAAATGCAAGCTGCTAAACAGGCCAAACTGTGAAAAACGAAGTTCAGGGGACAATAAAAAAAATTCCGCCCATGGCTGCCTCGCTTATTTATACCCTTCTCTCCTCTCCTTTCTCTCTCTGTAGCGTCAGGTTTTAGTGGTGCTCTACCAGGAGTGGTTCAAGGTCTCCAGCCAGAAAGACTCGCAGGCGGATACAGTCAGATTATACCTGCGTCAAGTGGGCTTGACCACACCTACTCTCCTGCCGTATGTGGTTAACTTGACGGACGGCAATGGGAATATGGCCCTCCACTACAGCGTTTCACACTCAAACTTCCCCGTGGTCAAACTTCTGCTCGACACTGGTGAGAATCAAACACATGCAACCGCACAGAATGCAGGAGAGGACATGCATAAATACTGAACACAAGTTGTAACTAAGCAAGGTGGCTTAATAAAGGAGGTAAATCCCTGCATGAATTGCACAAACGCTGTCCTTGGCTCAGTAGAACGTTGTGTTTGTTTGTTTGTTCAGGACTATGTGAAACAGATAATGTGAACAAGGCAGGCTACACTCCGGTGATGCTCGCCGCTCTGACGGCCGCTGAGAGCCCTGACGATCTGGAGGTGGTACAGCAGCTGTTGAAACTGGGTGACATCAATGCATGCTCCAGACAGGTAATTTACAATACACTGAAACTCACTAGTAAATTTCACTGAATTTACTGAAGAATTTGCTGTGTTGTTGTGAAGGACGTTATCAGGCACATTTTATATCGTTTCTCAAGGGAAATTAGGGCATGGTAGAGATGTTTTACATGTGGGTCAGTTTATTTCATGACATCAGCTATTTATTCTTGACAGCCATCTATAGTCCAATCCAAACATAATGTACGAATAGAAAGTTACACGACTGAAGAAAAGAAGAGAAAGGACAATTCCCTTACTTCTTAATTGGTTGATTTTTCATTCATTCATTCATTAAACCTTTATTTTTACTGAAGAGATCATTGAGTAGCAACTCAACAATTACAGACAGACAACAAAGCATGAAAAGAACCAGAAGACAGATGTCTACAAGGCCACTAAAATCAACAAACCATGGGATTTCTAAGATACTTAGACAATTAAAAGGAATTATTAAATACAAGAGTGTAAAAAAAAAACCTTAAAAGTACTCAAATAATAAGGTGAGCTCAATGAGTATAATAAAAAAAACACTTATTGTATGTAAAACACTTTCAAACAGAGGTTTAAAATCAGGTTTTTAAAATGTCCAAAAGGTAAAAGTGCATTGCCATCAAGGAGATGTTGTATCTTGTTCCAAGAGTCCAGTGCAGAATAAGAAAAAGGGCAGATTTTCTAAGTTCTGATCTGACTCGAGGAACACTTACCAGTAACAGGTCTGAAGATTGTGTATGATAATGCCAAGCTCAAAAATGTATACACAACTTTTAACTTTTGAGTTTATGGTCTTGGTTGCTAGGTGAAAGTTTTCTTCACTACAGCTTGATGTTTATTTTTTACATTTTAGTCCCATATTGAGAAAAGTAGACGATAAAGCAGGGTATGATTTGGTGTGGCAACCTGTGATTGACAAGTCACCTTGTTCCATCCATCCATCCATCCATCATCCATCCACCATCCATCCATCCATCCATCCATCATCCATCCACCATCCATCCATCCATCCATCCATCCACCATCCATCCATCCTCCATCCATCTTCCATCCACCATCCATCCATCCACCATCCATCCATCCTCCATCCATCCATCCTCCATCCATCTTCCATCCACCATCCATCCATCCACCATCCATCCATCCTCCATCCATCCATCCATCCATCCATCCTCCATCCATCCATCCATTCATCCATCCATCCTCCATCCATCCATCCATCCTCCATCCATTCATCCATCCATCCTCCATCCATCCATCCATCCATCCTCCATCCATTCATCCATCCATCCTCCATCCACCATCCATCCATCCTCCATCCTCCATCCATCCTCCATCCATCCATCCTCCATCCATCCATCCATCCATCCTCCATCCATCCATCCATCCATCCATCCATCCATCCATCCTCCATCCATTCATCCATCCATCCACCATCCATCCATCCTCCATCCATCCATCCATCCTCCATCCATCCATCCATCCATCCATCCATCCTCCATCCATTCATCCATCCATCCACCATCCATCCATCCTCCATCCATCCATCCATCCATCCATCCATCCTCCATCCATCCATCCATCCATCCTCCATCCTCCATCCATCCATCCTCCATCCACCATCCATCCATCCTCCATCCTCCATCCATCCATCCTCCATCCATCCATCCTCCATCCATTCATCCATCCATCCACCATCCATCCATCCTCCATCCATCCATCCTCCATCCATCCATCCATCCATCCTCCATCCATCCATCCATCCATCCATCCATCCTCCATCCATTCATCCATCCATCATCCATCTATATATATGTTCTCTTCTTGTTCCAAACATAAAAGATAACATCTGAAAAATGGTGAACTCAATGCCCCAAAGTGGGGCTTTAAAAGCAATGGACGATTTCAAGTGGGTTTCATAGACTTATGATCTGCTGTTAATGGGAAGGAGTAATGTATTATACTTAGACAACACGTGCAAAAGTTATGGTAACCCTTAACTGGACTCTTTTTGAAAGTTCTTCACTTCAGTAACTCAGTGTTAGAAATGTATCTTAGTGCAACAACTTTGTAAAAATGAACTACTTCTAGACTTTGCTTATACCCTGTAATCACCTTTGCTTCTCAATCCTTCTTTTCCTCGCTCATCCCCGACCCTGCTTCTCTCTTCTAAATACAAGAGTGTAAAAAAAAAACCTTAAAAGTACTCAAATAATAAGGTGAGCTCAATGAGTATAATAAAAAAAAAACACTTATTGTATGTAAAACACTTTCAAACAGAGGTTTAAAATCAGGTTTTTAAAATGTCCAAAAGGTAGAAGTGCATTGCCCTCAAGGAGATGTTGTATCTTGTTCCAAGAGTCCAGTGCAGAATAAGAAAAAGGGCAGATTTTCTAAGTTCTGATCTGACTCGAGGAACACTTACCAGTAACAGGTCTGAAGATTGTGTATGATAATGCCAAGCTCAAAAATGTATACACAACTTTTAACTTTTGAGTTTATGGTCTTGGTTGCTAGGTGAAAGTTTTCTTCACTACAGCTTGATGTTTATTTTTTACATTTTAGTCCCATATTGAGAAAAGTAGACGATAAAGCAGGGTATGATTTGGTGTGGCAACCTGTGATTGACAAGTCACCTTGTTCCATCCATCCATCCATCCATCATCCATCCACCATCCATCCATCCATCCATCCATCCATCCATCATCCATCCATCCTCCATCCATCTTCCATCCATCCATCCATCCATCCACCATCCATCCATCCATCATCCATCTTCCATCCACCATCCATCCATCCATCCTCCATCCATCCATCCTCCATCCATCCATCCTCCATCCATCCATCCATCCATCCATCCACCATCCATCCATCCTCCATCCATCTTCCATCCACCATCCATCCATCCACCATCCATCCTCCATCCATCCATCCTCCATCCATCCATCCATCCATCCATCCACCATCCATCCATCCTCCATCCATCTTCCATCCACCATCCATCCATCCACCATCCATCCATCCTCCATCCATCTTCCATCCACCATCCATCCATCCTCCATCCATCCATCCATCCATCCATCCACCATCCATCCATCCTCCATCCATCTTCCATCCACCATCCATCCATCCACCATCCATCCATCCATCCATCCTCCATCCATCCATCCATCCATCCTCCATCCATTCATCCATCCATCCTCCATCCATCCATCCATCCTCCATCCATTCATCCATCCATCCTCCATCCATTCATCCATCCACCATCCATCCATCCTCCATCCTCCATCCATCCATCCATCCTCCATCCATCCATCCTCCATCCTCCATCCATCCATCCTCCATCCACCATCCATCCATCCATCCTCCATCCATCCATCCTCCATCCATCCATCCATCCATCCTCCATCCATTCATCCATCCATCCACCATCCATCCATCCTCCATCCATCCATCATCCATCCTCCATCCATCCATCCATCCATCCATCCATCCATCCTCCATCCATTCATCCATCCATCCACCATCCATCCATCCTCCATCCATCCATCCATCCATCCATCCTCCATCCATCCATCCATTCATCCATTCATCCATCCATCATCCATCTATATATATATATGTTCTCTTCTTGTTCCAAACATAAAAGATAACATCTGAAAAATGGTGAACTCAATGCCCCAAAGTGGGGCTTTAAAAGCAATGGACGATTTCAAGTGGGTTTCATTCACTTATGATCTGCTGTTAATGGGAAGGAGTAATGTATTATACTTAGACAACACGTGCAAAAGTTATGGTAACCCTTAACTGGACTCTTTTTGAAAGTTCTTCACTTCAGTAACTCAGTGTTAGAAATGTATCTTAGTGCAACAACTTTGTAAAAATGAACTACTTCTAGACTTTGCTTATACCCTGTAATCACCTTTGCTTCTCAATCCTTCTTTTCCTCGCTCATCCCCGACCCTGCTTCTCTCTTCAATTATTCCTTAATCCCCCCCTCTCACTCACACACACACACACACACACACCTGCCCTCTCCATGTTTAATTCTAATTCTCTCTATTTCGCACTCTTTCCCTAGGCGGGCCAGACGGCACTCATGCTCGCGGTGAGCCACGGCCGCGTTGCCATGGTGAAGCTGCTCCTGAGCTGCGGCGCGGATGTAAATGCTCAGGATCGGGAGGAATCCACGGCCCTGATGTGTGCCAGTGAACACGGACACATACACATTGTTCGTCTGCTGCTGGAGACAGGTCGCTGCGACATCAGCCTCAAAGATAAGGTGAAGTTGTTTACTGTAAAGTTCATATAACACTGTCTATGTGAGTGATCTAAAGATGTTTTAACCCTCGTTAAACATGTCTGACTTCAGTCTGACACATAACACCTTCAGGATTTAATATTTTCAGATCTTCTATGCCATCTCTTTAAGATGAACTACTTTATAGTTTTAGAAATGGTCGCTCTTTTTAATAATAACCCGACATAAAACAGAGTTGTTTTATGTTTCACCAATGGCCAGATCAGTACTTTCTTTACTTGCATAAACATTGTGGATTCTCTTATCTTTTAGCACACAGTTCTGGGTGCTCAGGTCCTTTAATGTGCTGCGACATTTAAAATATATTACAAAGTTTTATAAACACAACCTAAACTAAATATATTCACTAACAGGCCTGTGTATAATAAAACATGTACATGACGATTTGACTTAAGCTGTGGTTTTTAAAGTTCATCTGATGCAAAAAAAAAAAAAGCCTTGAACCTGCATCCTTTCTTATAGCCGGCAGGCTGCAACTCCACCCACGAGTCAGATTGTAAGAAAAATAGATGAGAAAATGGTCCTGCTTCTTTATTATTATATTGATTTCCTTAGTTAAAATTTTGGTTCGGTTGCAATTATTAGTGTCTTCTTCAATACGGATCGATGTTCATGACTTCAACTTTGTTTGCATTTGGAATTAAATTCACAGTAGAGCAGGGTCTACCTGTGGGGGGTGCATTAGCAACGTGTGACGGACTAGCCTCTTCTGCTTCGATCTGTCAACCAGGATAGCAAAGTAAAAGCCTCTCTACCCATTTTGTCCAAGTATAGTCGCTGCTGGTTCCAAATATTAAGATGGCACCAACTGGTCAAACTTGGGGCTTCTAATGGGTTTCATCACAATGGCTACTTCCACTTAATCAATACAGTGTTTGGTTGAAACCCTGTGTGTATATAATACAGGGAGAAATACAGAGGTGTCCTCTTTCAATGAGACATGGCTTTTAAATGGGATTCCCTCTAACTCCCACAGAAACCTGAGACCTCCTGTCTGTGCTGTCTTTGGCTTGCTTTGCGTCTCTGTCATAGGGGTTAACTGTTTTCTGAGCTGCCAGGCATCAACAGCTAGTTATATCCTGCTTATATGCTAATACATGAGTGGTAATGCTGCAGAATGTGTCAGCCGATATTGTGCTGCCCCTGCGGTCAGCCTTTCATGTCCTCTAAGGTTATAACCAGACAGTAGCTGGTGCCTGTGCCCACACACAGGGGATTGATTTTTCAACCTAGTACAGTATTGATTTTCCGAGATTGTTCATTCCCCTCTGCAATCTGAGGTGGCTAGTCAAAGAACTGCCATATCAAGGCCGATGCCTCGCCCTGCCAGGGCACTTACCCCCGCACAAACACAGCTGTAATGACTGCAGCCGCACTGCCCTCGCTCCTCTCCCACAGGGGAGTTAAAAAGCGGGACTGCGGCAAAAAAAAATAACCAGGAAATAGAATAAAAATATACGATAAAGCATACCTGAAGAACACAACGCAATCACTGCCTGCTTGATAAAAAATCACCTAAAAAAAAAAAAAGAATAAAAGGCCTTTATTGTTTTTATACAACGTTCAATGAAGTTAGGAAGTGCTTCATTTTACTGTAAGTGCACAACATTCAGGGGTCACAGTAATGTAGCAAAAACATGCATTAAGAAAAATAATGAAATGAATGAAATGGACAACATAGATTGCTCAATGAGAAAATGAACCAGAAAAATATACACTTATAAATATACTTTACTATGTCGTACATTGCACTATTTTTTTTATATTGACAAGTTGGGACATAAATGATTACAGTGTGGAGGAAAAACAAACAAACAAGCTAAAGAATATGAGAAATAAACGGATAGATTAGAAGAAACTAAAGAATGATGAATGAGCCGAAAGAACCAGCCCCCAACTCTTCCATGGGGGAGCATGAAGGGGAACGGTAGGAGGGCCTCTAAACGGCGGCTGTGGCTCAGTTGGTAGAGTCGGTCGTCTTCTCAAACGGATAGTCGGGGGTTTGATCCCAAACTTCTGCAGCAATATGTCCGATGTGTCGTTGGGCAAGACACTTAACCTCGAATTGCTCCCGCTGATTAGTTGCTGGTGTATGAATGTGTAGGTAATGGTAAATGGTAAATGGACTTGAGCTTATGTAGCGCTTTTCCAGTCTTCTGAATACTCAAAGCGCTTTTACACTGCATGTCACACCTACACATTCACACACTGATGGTAGTGATCGCTATGTAGTATCATCCATCAGAAGTCACTAATCCCATTCATACACCGCCACCGAAGCAGCGAGAGCAATTCGAGGTTAAGTGTCTTGCAGCTGGGGATCGAACCCTCGACCTTCCGGTTGAGAGGCAACGACTCTACCACAGCCGCCCCCCAGGTGTGACCTGTGGTGTAAAAGTGCTTTGAATAGTCTGAAGAATAGAAAAGCTGAAGTCCATTTACCATTTAAACCAAGACTTAATTAAGTTGGTAGGTGCTCCATTTCAAATCTAAACTGCAATAACATTAAATGTGTGTTATTATAAGAACAACACTGTAAGAGAGAAATGTACAGAATGACCATGTTTCAAATACAGACCTGCCGGATTTGACCGAACAACATAGATAATTCAACTCAGTCAGGTCCTTCAATTATCCTATATAACTCAACCATCTGCGTCTGGTGCATCATTTGGTGTGTGACTCCATGACAACACATGAGCGCAGACTATATTTAGTGGAACTGGAGGACGACAGCATGGTCTCCAATCTGAGGAAATAAGCAGCTCTGGCAAACAATTTAAAGTGAAGTGCTGTCAAAGTAAGTCAAGGAGATTGTTTTGCCGGTTTGTAAAATAAATGTAAAATAAAGTCAGAGTATTCACACTTTTCAGCAATAATCCCAGGAGACGAGGACTCATTGAGTATGCAGCCTTGTCTGCTCGAGTGATATAAAAAAAAATCTAGCCTTCAAAAAATTAATAGAAAGACATCAATACAAGCTGTGAGAACGATGCAATGAGTTAAAAGCAGCACTATGGAGCACTGCCAGTTTAGTGAGGCAGGAAAATGTGTTTTAGAGGGATTAGCTTCAAATATATATTTAGTGTTTGAATTTTTGATGACACGCATGACCTGTTACATAATTAATTTAAGTATTCTTGTTCTTATAAGAGACGGCTACAAATATAACAGACGTCTGCGAATACATTATTGACAATAATCATGATATAAACAATATTGGTAAATCTACAGGTTCAACTCAACTTCCTCAAAAGTTGAGGTTATATGTACGAATAAAAACAGAATGTGATGATTTGCAAAACATTGAGAGCCCATTTTTGATTGAAAAAGGCACAAAGACAACAACTCCATCTTTACTAGAGAAAGACTTAGCCTCTCTGGGATGCTTTTTTTATATCCAGTCATGTTACTAACCCGTTACCAGGTAACAGCATTAACTGTGAGATGTTCCTTCTGGTGTTTCTATTTCTTTTTTCTCCCCAGCTTTTCTTCTATTGAAACATGTTGTTGGTATACAATTCAAAATTGGCTTAAACTTTAAACTCGTTGTCTTTTGGGCGCTGGTAGTGTAGGGGTTAGTGCACGGAGGCTATAGTCCTCCAAGCGAGCGGCCCTGCTGGTTCAAATTGGACCTGTGGCTCTTTTTCGCACTTCATTCCCTAGTTTTTTTTTTTTTTGCAAATAATAGTTTTTCTTTAATTTGTAATAAGATCAATTCAAATGTCATGCTTAAGCTTTAAAAATGTCGACCTACTGACTGTTCCTTAACAGACATGGATGGTTTTTGTGTCAATGCTCCAGAGCTGAGAATTGGATAAAGGGGGAAACTATTCTGTTTTGGGATTAGGTGCAGATTTTTTTTAAAAAAAGCCTTAGTGACATAGTGAGAATTTTAAACAAACAAAAAACTGAAGCAATGATTTTCAAAACATTAAAAACCATATTTAATTGAATGTAAAACAAAGACAAGATTTTTTTTGTACCTTTATTGTAGGTATAGGACAGTGGATAGAGAGACATTAGGGAGAGAGAGAGAGAGAGAGAGAGAGTAGTGACAGCATTATAGAGTTCTGATCAGACCTTATTTTAGATCGACCTCTGTTTATTTTAGTTCGTGGGGTTACAGCATTTGTATGACTCTTTTATATTTAAGTGTCAAAAAGTATTCTGACTGAAACGTCTCTTTAACTTTGCAACATTTGCCCATTTCCCCCTTTTCCCTAAATATAATCCTCCCTCGGTTTGTTATTAAAGCCGGCTTATTACACGGGCTATTCTGAACGATGCAAAGAGGCTTATCAATGGATGTCATCATGATATTTTTTACACATTGTGATTTGTAATTTGTGGAGCAAACCATCAGATAAAGATGAACTGAAACGTGACAGATGAAAATCATACTTCTATGTAGATATAGATCACAGCTCGTCTAATGATGTTTACAGCATAAAACTAGCACCTTTATCAAAGTGCAGAAGTAGAGGGTCCCATTACTGGAGAATAACACAACACTGCCCCCATCAGGATAACAACAGTCACTGCAATGCTTTCAACATGAATATGTTTATTTCTCCCTCTCCAGAACGGGCAGACAGCACTGTCGGTGGCAGAAGGAGCCTCCCACAAAGAAATAGTCGACCTTCTGAAGGCCCACACTGAGACCCAAGCATCCTCTGAACCCTCGTCTACCACAGACCTCCTCTGAGCCAGGACGTCTCTGTTTACTGCTACAGTTCAGTTAAGCCTCATATTCAAAGACCCTCTGCCTACCGAAATAAGGGGGGGAAAGACTCTCTTTGACTAATGGAAGAAGAAGTGGAAGTGCTCTGTTTACGACTTAAAAAACAAACCTCTGTGACTCGACTGTCCAGCTACAAAAACCCGAAATCTTTCTTCCACATCTCTGCCCTTGTCTGGGTGTCTATGGATATGCTGCATCAACCACTCAGTGGACAGACAACAAAAGAGGGCGGCTCAGATTAATATTAAGGCATTGCCATGGCAACATGTGAGTGACAGGATTTTACTAAGGGGACAGGGTGAGGATTTAAAGACGAACTAAGGATGGGCAGATCGAAGAGATAATCTGACAAACTGCTGCTTTCATCATCCACAAGCTCTTCAAGAAAAAATTACTAAGCACATGATCTACCTTTCAAATAGAAATATATATTAAAAAAAATATGACATTATTCCTTTTTTTTAATTTCTCCTCATCTTTCTTTTCATATTTGGACATAAACCATTCTTTGAGAATATATGTAGAATGTTATTCTAACAGATTATAATCATATACAAACACAGAAACTGTATTTTCTACTGCACTTTTTTTATTGTGATTGTGTACAGTGAATTATAATCCTCTCTAAATATATATATATATCTATTGGTGTCCAGGAGGTGAATATATATAACTCTAAAAGTGTTTATTGGAAAAATTGAATAACCAGTGGAACTACGAATCAATGTCCCATCATTCAGTCGATACTTGACTTAATTTAATGCATTATTTTTTCCACAGGGATGATTTTATTTTTTTAAACGGGGCACTGGCAATTATCAAATGTAAAATATATAAGAATAACAAATTGATAAGTTGAGGATTCAAATCTTTCAGCTTGATAAGAAACATTGTTTTCACACCCCAGAAGCCCAAAGTAAAGAAAGTCTTCTGAAATTGTTGAGAAGCAAGTGCTGCATGTCGATACACAGTTACTCCCCCTACTGGCTGTATAACAGTACTACACAAACAGTATGTTCTAATACTGTCCATTCTCCTGATTGACATCTCCCTCAGATCATATATGACGTACGTCTCGTTCATCTGCTCGTTTCCAATCGTGTATGCAACTGCTACAAAATGCACAATGAATGTCAGGCTGGCTGTGATACATTCCAATAAATATGTAGCAAGTGTAACTATACTGGCATGGGGCTATGGGACTAACAAAGACATAAACTGTCAGATAATATATAACAGGCATAGAAATGACTCTGCTTCCTCTTGTGTTTGTGACTGCAGATATTCAATCATTTAGAAAACATCTTGATCGTGAGGATCTAACTTTATGTTCCATGTTCAAAAAACGATAAAGAGACAAGAAAGTGAGAAGGGAAAGGAATCATTTGTTTATGGTTTTAAAGTCCTTGAAGAATTAATATGAATGAAATACTAATTTGTCTGTCAGTAAATACGGAGGGAGAGAGACCATGCTCCAGCCTTAATCAAATGTACGTCCGGCATTTAAAGGGGCGATAAGTTTCAGGAATTGTGCTCCCTTACTTCATCAGACCGTCACCCATATTCTTAAAGTGTCTTTAAACAGAAGTACTGATGTGATTAAACGTCTGTGTATGTTCTCAGTCATCCAGGTCATGGTGAGTTCAAAGCTTGATCCAAAGGCAACTGGAAGACTTTTCACCTCTCGTCCGAAAGGCTTCTTCACCTCTAAGATAACTGGTGGACGGAGCTCTAAATGCAAACCTCTGTGGATTATTAGCGTGCTACAGATCAAGGATGACTCACATCAGAGTCGTTAGCTGACTCATTGACCTAGTTGGCCTAGAGTCGTTAACAGCTGACACAATACGATACGATACACTGTAATGTCCCCTTGGGGGAAATTTGTCTTGGACTCAAAGTGCTGCCAAACATTCAGCTGCTTCCACTCCAATCAATAAAGAAAAACAAAAGACAAACATCCACACATAGACAGAAAGGAACTTACCAATGCAAGGCAACGCAGCATATACTGCGCATTACCCATATTGCACAAGATCTGCAAAAACGCAGCATGAAAGATAAAATAACAAATGTAAGAAAACCCCGGTCGTCAGTGGGTCGTTGGGGTCACATGTTCCAATGTGAGAACTGAAGCTGTCTCAACCAAGTCCAGATGTCTTTGGATCAAGCTTCGGATGTGATTAAATGTTTACAACTGAAAAGCATTACTTCAGTGACCAGAGCAGAAATCCCAAAAGTGTACAGCAGGTTGAGATATTTATTCATTTGTATGAAGGCAACGGGAGGAGTTTGTTTACCCCTGTGGGCAAAGCTTCAAAACCATATGAAGATTTCAGAACAAAGCACGGTCAAAAAAAAAAGGAAGCAGCAGAGGTCAGAATCAGGAATACTTTATTAATCCCAGGGGGAAATTCAGTTGTTGTCGAAGGTTGAGTTATTCTGGCTGTTTACCTACACACTGTAAAAGAAGATGCATAGCTACCCTGACTACACCTATTCTTTTTTCAGCGTCGTTTTTGAAACCTCAAACTTCGCATTCGGACAGTAGCAATCTGTAGCGTTTGTTTTGTTTTTTAAACCCATTGGGACCATATTAGGATGACAGGGTGGACATACACGTCTCTATCTTGTTCAACAAGTCGTTGTGGTATCAATACACAATCTTTACAATCTCAAGTCCATTTACCAATATCCTGCTTATATATATTTTACTCTAAATGGGACCATGATTTACAAAATCTACAGGCTTCCTGTTGTGAATTTATAATTACAAATTCATGGCAAGACATCCCCGATGACATCATCAGTGGGAATATAAACAGACCTGTTGGTGTACATTTGATGCCGTCTCTTTAAATGGTGACTGGGCTTCGTTGTGGTTACTGAACAAAAAAACTTCAAGGGGAATACCACTCACTTTAACAACTGCCAAATATGTGGTCCAATGACTGACATCCTGCCAATTTCACTGCCGGCTCCAGCTCCTACTCAAATAAAGTAAATATACAAATTATAGGTGAGTTTAGTTTATAGGGACTTTAAAGAAAGCAGAAATCTCTCCTAAAACAAGTGTTTCTCAGTGCCAGTTGATAAAAAAAATCACATAAAAGAAAAGAAAAGGTCTTTATTGTCATTAAACAATGTTCCAGCTTGTATTAAGTCTCCTTAAAAGGTGATATATTTAAGTTGATTTGCCTATAGTATTTGGTGCTGATTTCTAAGCTTCCTGTTGCGTGGGTGTTTTGACCACCTATTCTGAAGCAGCAGTCTCTAATTCCCAGACACTTTATTGATATGGGTGATAACAAAGGACTCGACAAACTGACAGGAACACAGATCAACAAGCAAAAGTACCTCTCTTGAATTAGAGCTGCATCAACCCAGCAGTAGCGATTCTAGAGTCTGTTTGGGCACTAAGCAAAATTCCCTGGGGGCCCCTCCACCTATCATTCATCGCCATTATGTTAAAAAATAATCTGACACCAATGGCAACTTTAAGTGACACATTGAATTTTTTACAGGAATATTGGAACGCGTAGCCTTGCAACAACATTGAGTACTGTCAGATGGGGCCCCCTTAGGGAGGTTTTCTACTGTCATTGTAAAATTTGCACATTCTGAGCCACTGCTACATGTGGTTTAAAGTTAGTCAGTCCTCTGTTGGGGCCACCTACTGGCCAGGGGCCCCAAGCATTTTACTGCCTTGCCTGTTGACAAGCGGCAAACTCTGCTACTCGGCAACAAAAACTGAGTCAGCAGTGAGTTAGAAATCAGATTGGAGGTCATAGTCACAAAGTAGCACAGGTGCAGATATAGACGAGGCTGTATTCACACAGGAGCAGAGAGTCTGAATCATAGGTCTGCTACTCATTATTTATTGGTTGCATAAAAGTCTGTGTAGCTTCCCAAATTTCAGACGGCAAAAGTAATTTTGGATCGATGCTGAGGGACATTTCTGGTAAATCTGGTCTTCCGTGCCTGTGTATCAAGTCTATAAAAAGAATCACATCCGTATGTTTTATCCAGTGTGACCCAGATGTAATAAGGTTTCATTACTGGCTCAACACCAAAGAAGTGAAATCTGATTCACATGGGGTTAACAATAAAGTTTATGTTTCTGTACAAATCAAAGTGTACATACAGTATTGTGAGAAATATATAACAAGTATTGTCTGACAGTTTACTCTAAAAACGATCTTAGATATTTATTCCAAATTCTATATTTTTTACCATATATACAAAGTATACTTATGTATGCATGGACATGATGTTTTGGATGATTGGAAACTATGCTGACAGTTCCCTGATGATGTGATTATTGGGCTCATCGTTGATTGGTCGGGTGGTGTAGTTACATGTGTGATTTGACAGGTTGTGGGCTGTGTGTCATGTAACCGTTGATGCTATACCTATGATGTTTGCGGGGAAATTATGAAGCAGTTTGAACACTGGCTCAAGCTATAAAGGGAGCTATCTCTTTTGTTTGAAATACCCATCTGAAAATTGGCGTATGAACATGAGTCAAATGTAAAAAAACAAACATGTACCTCTATAAAATATTCCTTGTACAATGGGCTTATATGTAACAAACGAGAGAAATACTTCTAAATAAATGAATATGAAGATTTAACACTTGAATTGTCCTTTAAGGTTGACTGCTATCTTCATTTAAAATATTATATATATCTATATATTCACTTTATCGATCATTAAAATACCCTTCTCCTTACTACACCTTACTAGATCTTACTCTTTGTTACAATATTTACAACATGAATCCATCATGATCTGAGCACTGAGCAAAAGTTAGCAAAGTTACAGTGGTGGGTAAAAACTTCCTTCATAAGCAGAAACCTTGAGCAGAACCAAACTCAAGTTTAACAGCGGTCTGCCAAAACTGTGTAGGGGATAATTTGGGTGATATTCTGATATTCGCACACTAAAAGCCTTCTCTTTCTGAATGCTGATGTGCATGTCTTGGGCCCCAAAAGCAATCACAAACTGTATATTAAGGAGACGATTCAGTTATGTGTTGTAATGAACCACAATGTCCAGCAGATGGTGGTATTAACATGTAGTCAGGAGTCACTAAGCAGCAACAGCCTGATTGAGTCATTTGAGTTCTCGTTGAGAAATTCTTCTCAAGCAGGAAAGTTGGGTGAAGACAGCTTTGAAAAGTATGCACCCTCAATCAGCAGTATTCAAAAAATGTACTTAGGTGAAAGTATAGATAAAACCATTAAAGTATTTACAACAAAAAATAAGTTGTGCATTCACATTTTACCAAGACTTAAGTACAGAACCTTATGATAAAATACGTACAGAGTATTCTGTATTCTGTATACTGCCTCCATCAGTCTCATTTTAATGCGAATATGCATCTCCTCTCGTCATGGTTTGGAAGAAAGATGGCGGGTTTAGGATTTGTGCAGACTTCAGGTGGCTGAACACAAACCCAGAAGGATGCCCACCCGCTCCCTCACCAAGCGGACTGTCTGGCAGCACTTGGTGGCAATGCCTTCTTCAGCACTATGGACCTAACCTCTGGGTTTTACAACATCCCCATGTGCGAAGAAGATAAAAAGAACACCGCCTTCACAACACCTATCAAGTACAACAGGATGCCACGAGGGCTCTGCAACAGTCCGGCTTCGTTCATACGCATGATGTTGAACATCTTTGGAGACCTCAACTTCAGCAGTCTGCTTTGCTATTTGGGCGACCTTCTTGTTTGTGCTCCAACTGAAGAGGAGGCCCTTAGCCGGCTGCAGGTGCAACAGCAACTTCAAGCTCAGCCCCAAGAAATGTCATCTGAAGTCTGTCAAGTTCCTTGGACATGTCATTGATCAGAGCGGTGTTGCGTTGGATCCTGCTAAAGTGGATGTGATCTCCAAAATGCCAAGAGAAGCCCCAATGGAGGAGGACAGTTGCACTTCCTCTGTGAGGAAGTTTAAAACTTTTTTGGGCATGTTTTTAATTTTTTTTTATCAAAGCTTCATTCCCGGGTGCTCAGCCATCACCAAGCCTCTGTTCACTCTGTTCAGCTGGCCAGAAGAGAAAAGGACGGTCTGGTAAAGGTCCTAGCATGTTCAGAAAGTTGACTGCTACAGATTGGACCCCTGCATGCGAGGAAGCGTTTACCAGGCTCAAGAGTGAGCTTATCAACAGTGCGGTTTTGGATCATCTGGACTTTTCAAGACCTTTCATCCTGTCCGTGGATGCATCTCTAGATGGGTAGGTTGCTGTGCAATTGCCTGCCGGGGAGGAACAAAGCACACTCCATCGTCTTCGCTAGCAATGCTCTCAGCAAGTTTCCAGCAAGACCGAAGTATCCAGCTTATCGTCTCGAGTTCATGGCCCTGAAGTGGAGTGTCTCACAAAAGTTCAGTCCCTGGTTAAAAGGACACAAACCAGGTGAAGAAGCCAATTTGAATTTGAATTTGAATTTGAATTTGAAAATCTTTATTGTCCCCGAGGGGCAATTTGGCTTGCAACAGAGGTAGTCAATACATCCATAAAACAGCAAATTTTACATAAATACATACATAAAACATAACTACCATGGATATCACCATGATGGGTGTTAGTGAGTTAAGAGACAAAGGACCAACAGTCCATAGTAAAAGTGTACAGGCAACAATACCTACAGCTTATTTAAAAACCCAACAGCTGATGGAACAAACGACCTCAGGTATCTGTTTGATTTTGACCTCCTAACATAAGTGAACCTCCGCTCTGTGGGCAGAAGTCTAAACTCTGCATGCAGGGGGTGCTGAGGGTCTTCCAAGATGGCCTTCGCCTTTCGAGTGGCTCTTACTTGAAAAACATGGCCAAGATCATTCAAGTCAACTCCAACTATGTTTCGGCAAAGTTTAACAATATTTCCCAGCCTGTTTTTGTTAATGATGCTGAGGTTACCAAACCAGCAGATCATCACAAAAGTCAAAATGGACTCAATAAAAGATGAATAAAACATTTTCAGAAGAGATTTGTCAACATTAAAAATCCTTAGCTTTCTCAAGAAGAACAGTCTCTGATTGGCCTTTTTGCAGATGGCGTCAGTGTTCGCATCAACTCAAAGAAAGCAGAGGTCAACTTCTGTCCTGATTACCCAGCAGGCGAAACCAAAGAAAGCCTTGAGAAGGAAAGGGAAGCACTTATATTAGAGGTGAAGAAGAAGAACAATCATCAGCTAATCAACTGTAAGATGGAGAAAACCTTTGCCCATAGGAGACGAGAAGTAATTGAAGATATGCCCTTCATAGCAGAGTTCAAAAACAGATGGCCAGCTCTGTTTTCTGAGAATCAGGTAATATTCATTTTTTTTATGGTTGTACATTTACTAAACAATAAGCTCTTCATTTTGAAAAAAGTGGACTCAACTATGTCAGTGTTGGTATAATTATTTTGAACCAGGTGAATGGAGAAAATTCCATGCATGTAGTCAATCTGTCTGTATTACAGTGCATAGTATATTGGAATAAAGGCAAAACCATTAACCCACTACCTCAAAAGTTAGAGCCAAAGCAGACACTTATGGTGTTAAGTGTAACTCTTAACATAAATAAGTTGTTTGGTGTTACTGTTTAACTTCTTTCCCTCTTATTAGGTCTTTTACTTTGAATCAAGTTCAAATATGCTTGAGAGCCATATCATAATCAAATATAGTATTAAATTAGAATGAACTCATGAGAATCATTACCACAATTTTAGTATTTCATTATTCTCTATCCTCTGTTTATGTCACTTTAATATTAAAAATTGCTCATCTAAAACCATTAGTTAGACGGGAATGCATACTGAAAGCATTATGCGTCTACTTAAATGAAGATCCTAACAACCTTGTTAAGAAGTACATGGTGAGTTATGACACTGTTGATCAACTATAGATTTTTTTTCTTTTTTTTTAACAAACATTTTTGTATCTCCTCCATGTTTTGTATTTCTGTCTAAATATATTTGATCACGAGTATAGAAATTAGAAAAGACACTGCAGGCTAATAATAAAAATCACTCCTGTAAAAAAAAAAAAATCAACCAAGAAACTTGTGTATATTCCTTAATTATTCGTTTTTGAAGCTGCTTCCGCAAACCATAGTACGACAGAGCTCTGTTGCTCAAACAAGTGCTTCCTAACAGGATCATGTAGATTCATTGTTCATCTTGGCCTTTTTTCTTTCTTTTTTCTTTTTTTCAAAAAAACTCAATTACCAGTCTCATACTTTAACGACACTAGCAGAAATTAATGAAAAATATACATCAGTAATACATATGTGTAATTAATACTGTTTATTTCTGCCATTTTGAGGATGGTGCAGAGGGAGAAATGGAGAAAGTGGTTTTGGGCATCTACGCTGTGCAACTAGAGGGAGCAGAGGGAACAGATCCACCTGCGGATGTTGGCATCATCGTTGAAGGATGTACAGTGCTGCAATACCTGACAGATGTGGTAAATGGCTGTGCAACCGTGTTTGGCCTGATCTATCGTTTAAACCTGAGCTATCCCAAGGACTTGCGATACACTTTTGAGTTTCTTCAAAAAGTGGTGATGGGATTGGATGGGAACAAGCTCTCCACTAAGGTACAGGTCCTCAAAAACAAACTGCATGAGTAAATTGCCATCAAGACTGTGGATAAGAACTGGACTTGGATTTCTGTTGATTCTTACTCAGGGGAAAAACTGAGTGCTTTTGGACAGTGGACTGATGCTGGACACAACTGTTAAGTTTGAAGACATTTTGTCTGTTGATCTGTAATTGTGTTATTTGACACTCTATAAGTGATGGAGTTGAATTTAATGAAGGTGGAGTTCAAAGTAAGATGGCCTGCAGTAAATCTTATTGGACACTCAGATTTAAGCATGGTCATTATGGTCAGAGACACTCATATCCATGCACATACTATGAATGTCCATGCTCATTCAATACATGGAGTGCTCTTAAAACTCATCTGAGGCGATGTCATGTTGATGTGTTACATACCAGAAGTGCGGAACTAGGAGTTTTTACATGCTTTTGTGCCCTGGAAGTGAAATACCATCTAGTAGAGAGTACTTTTCTCACATCAACAACCATCTGAAGCGTTATGAAACAGTAACTTGTGTGTTTCAGAATTGTACGTTTCAAACTAATATATTTGGTACATACAAATCACACAAGAGCAGGAGGCACCCACTTTGCACAGTTAAAGACTTTAAAGTTGAAGTAGTGATTGATGCAATTGATGGGTTGCTTGAGGAGTTACATTTCATTTTTACCTCAGCAGTGCTGCCTATATCACAGTACAGCTTTTGGCAGTTATCTTTAAAATTTAGATGGTTCAACATGTGCGGATTTAATCAGGTGTGGTTAAGAGTAACATTATACATCAATACTCTTTATTTTTTATTTCATAAGCACATTTTCAGTTTCTGTGAATGTGTATGTATACACATAGGCAGTTATACACATGTGTTATTTGTAATAGCCCCACTAATGTTTCCAGAGTATAATAAAGGCTAATTAAGTAAAGTGAAATTAAGCAACTTAAATTGTATTTATTTAACTTTGTGATTTAACCAGTACAACAACGGTGTTGCATTAACACAAATCTACCACATTAATAATGATAATTTGTGTTAAGTTAGTTGAA